AGATTTATGTTTTAGAAAAGGCCTAGCCTTAAAACATGTGGAAAATGATATTAAAATGAAATATATTTCGGCATTTCACATATTGTGTTCCAAACCATCCTAGTTCTTGGAAGTAGTGTTTTAAAAAGAATTCTCTGGCTAATAATATCTTTGAGTGATGAACACTGCATCTCTATTGTGGAGAGTTACAATATATGTGTATCATGTTAAGATAGCAGTAAAATTCTGCCGCAAAATAAATTTATTTAACTTTGCTTATTCACATGCATCACAAGTCACCTCAGGTCACTTTTTTTTGTTTCCCACCTGAAGTGAATGTTCCAAGGAGCATGCTTTCTAATATAGTTTGCAAGTTCATGAACTTCAAGGACCCCAGTTTAAACCTATTTACAGGTTCTGAAATGGCACCTACTATACCTAAACACTCAATGGCTATCATTTCCATGAATTTAAAGTTGAATTCCACAAACACAGGGTTAACTGAGTACAAACCATGACATATGTAAGGTGTCTTTTAAAGGAGGAGGGAAGCTGTTGATGATACAAAGGATATTCAAAGCTCTTCAAAGTAAACAAATGTGAGATGAGCAAATATACATTCAAAATAGGGAAATATCTTGAAAATTATTCTACCTCCCTTTTCTCCTTGGCTTCAGCCTAACTAAGATTTTGTCCTGTTGATTCATCTTCTCTCCACCTCTCAGCCTTTCCCTTAGTTAAGGTCAGAAGAGAAAAAAAACTAAAGAAAGAAGTGCTACAATCTCAGTAAGCGGCCACACCTCCACCCTCCTCCTCTCCTAGACCTGGTCATTTCCACTGCTCTGTCTTTATCAGCTCTCATCCCAGATTCCATAATAAGAGCTTCTCCCATCTCAGAGCTAGTGCCTTTGGTGAAGCTCCAGCATGGCCTCTGACTGGTTTTCCATTGAAATGTGGACTGATGTTCTTTTTTTTTTTTTTTAAAGATTTTATTTATTTATTTGAGAGAGAGAGAATGAGAGATAGAGAGCACGAGAGGGAAGAGGGTCAGAGGGAGAAGCAGACTCCCCACCGAGCAGGGAGCCCGATGTGGGACTCGATCCTGGGACTCCAGGATCATGACCTGAGCTGAAGGCAGTCGCTTAACCAACTGAGCCACCCAGGCACCCTGGACTGATGTTCTTTACACCCTTTTTGTATAAAGATTATCTTCCACCATCCATATGCACCTCTAAATCACTAAGTGAAAAAAAAATAATTTTAAAAAATAAAATAAAATCACTAAGTGAAAGAAGAAGGGTAATGTCACCTAGAAAAAACTGTTATTGCCTTATTTCTACAAATGGCAAATAAATAATGAGAAAGAAAATTTGTTTTAGAAAAGAAGAGGAAAAAAATACTATTTTTCTTCTGTATTAGATCATGATGAACAGAAACTTTACTTCTAAGCCATAGATGGTGCTACGAAACAAAGTAGGGGAACAAAGAGGAAGGAAGGAAGGAAGGAAGGAAGGAGGGAAGGAAGGGAAGAAAAGAAAGAAAAAAGGAAAAGGAAAGAGAAAGGAAGGAAGGGAGGGAGGAAAGGGAAGGGAAGAAAGAGAGAGAGAGAGGGAGGAAAGAGAGAAGAAAGAAAGAAAAGAAAGAAGAAAGAAAGAAAGAAAGAAAGAAAGAAAGAAAGAAAGAAAGAAAGAAAGAAAGAAAGAAAGAAAGAAAGAAAGAAGGAAAGAAAGAAAAGAAAAGAAAGAAGGAAAGAAGAAAAGAAAGAGATAGATAGATAGATAGATAGATGATAGATAGATAGATAGATAGATAAATAAATAAATAAATGTCAGAATCTAGTGCCAAAAAGTGAGTTTTCTCCCCAACACCTCAGCTACTTAAATCACTAAACTGGCCCCAGTGGTACCCACAAAAATTAATTTAAAAAGTTTCCCCCTTCTTCTTGCTAAAAGACAGGATTATCAGGGAGACTTCTATAATTCCATCACAGTAAAAGAAGATGCACTATTACTATCCCAAACTGAAAACGTATGGTTTTTCATAGAGACATTTAAGTATGCAGTGTTAAATTGCACAGCATTATTGACACAATACTTTTGGTATACAATGTGATTGGTGAACTAGCCTTGGGACTGAAACTCCAGCTGTGACGATTCCTATCCTTTTGGAACACAACTTGTTCATGAAATGGAGATTGCACTTATTTTAAGGAAGGAAAAGTACTGAGGTTTCTCTAATCCAGAATAGTTTAAATATAGGAAATGTTCCCAAGGATAGCAATCAAAATGATGAATGAGTTAGATTATTTTATTCATGTGGAAATATAAATGAAGCATAAATTACCCAAGACAAATTTGCCAGGAAAAAAAAATGGGGGAAATTGTGTGATGGTCTGCAGAATGTGAAAGGCACAGACCTCAAGGCTAGAGAAATAACATAGTGTGATTCAAAAGCTAGTAGTACAGATAATGAGAATGTTCAGAGTAAAACAGAAGCTGCCTCCCCTGATGGAAAAGGAGCAGAGAAACTACACTAATTTGAATGTGGTGTAGGAATCCAAACCAGGTAAAGACTCAGGAATAAACTCTAATACAGTATTAATACTCATGTCAAGGAAAATAAAACTGTCTAATCATGTTATCTAGATTATCTAGATATAGAATTTGGCTCATTGGGGTCATCTTCTTTCATAAATATTGGACTCAACCATTTGGTTACCAACTTCCCACCATTGGAAAAGCCTGTTGGAAACATCAATGTTTAGGTGGGGCAAGTTGCTTGTGCTTTTCTCTGGGCATCTAAAAAATCAGTAGATGCATGATAAACAATTTAAAAATCACAATTAGTTTCTTCCCAGTGACAAATAAATAGCAATCTTACACATATCCTTAACAGTCTCCAAATTGTGCAACAGAAATATAATATGATAAACATATGTAATTTTAAATCCCCAAGTAGATACATTAAAAAAACAGGTAAAATCCATTTATTAATACATTTTATTTAACCCAATATATCGAAAATATAATTTCGTCTTGTGGCACTAGCCACATTTAATGCTCAGTAAGCACATGTGATCAGTATATCATATTATACAGCCCAAGAACTAAGAGAAAAGTAGAGGTATAAGACCAAAATAAAAAATTGTGCATGGGTCAATGAAGGGACACTCTTTCTGACCCACAGTAATGACCATTATGATTATATTGAACACGACAGGTAACTTCACTGAGAAGGGGAAAGAGGACCACAAGTACTATGTGTGTGGTGAAGTGAAAATCTCATTAAAATAAGAATTAATTCATTTATGTGATTTTGGAAATGGGTTAATTTTAGAATAAAATTATTTTCTTTATATCCTCCTAAGTGATCAATCAAAAATATATCAAAACATAATTTAAAATATTTTTATAATTGGCAACTGCAATGATGTTAAGATACTGTGACAAAAAAATAAAATGTTATTATGAAAATTATTTAAAAATTGTCAAGGACAGCACTTATATTAAGCACTTAAAAATGTTGCTAGGACAGTTGAAGAATACCTATTCTAGGTTTAGAATACCAGTTGCAGATCATCATTCAGAAATATACCAACAATTTATTTCTTTATTCAATAAAAATTTCTTTAATATTCATTCTATTTCAGAAGCTGTCCTAAGCCCTAAGGATACAATGAAAACAAAAACAGGTAAAATCCATGCTCCTCAGAAGCAAATATTCTAAGATAGATACATAAATTCATTCGTCTACCAAAGCTTTGTTAAACAGTTTTCAAAGAACTTCCTTTTTCTATCACTAACTAATATGACCTAGAATTTGTTCTCTTAAGGGTACATATTCATTGATTGTCAGCCTCAAGAAGTTGGAACCTGTTTTATCTATCATCTAGTTCAGTACATCTCAGAATGCCTTATACATTATTTAATGATGGTACTGAATCGAATTAATTGAATCAAATTGAAATAAATCAAATTTAATTTAATTAGAAGGCATAAAATAGGTGTTATTTCATTGCTAAAAATCCTAACCAAAAACCAGGAATATCTCCATTAAAAAGTAATACTGAAACCAAATGAAGACAATAATTACAAGAAAGGAAAACTTCAGGCCAGTATCTCTCATAAACATAGATGCAAAAATCCTCAATACAATATAATCAAATCCAACAATATATAAAAAGAATTATATACCATGACTAAGTGGGATTTATTCCAGATACGTAAGACTGGTTCAACAAATGTTAATCAATTAATGTAATCAATCATATAAGCAGGCTAAAGAAGAAAATTTACATGATCATATCAATTGATGTTAAAAAAATATTTGAAACACCCTAACATCCTACACTAATCCATGATAAAAACTCTCAGCAAACTAGGAATGAAGGGGAACTTAGTCAATTTGATAAAGAACATCTGTAAAGAACGTATAGTTAACATCATACTCAAGGTGAGAAACCAAATCTTTACCACTAAGACTGAAAACAAAGCCAGGACATTCCCTCTTATAACTCCTATTCAACATTATACTACAAGTCCTAACTAACACATTAATACCAAAAAAAATGGAAATAAAGTGTATACCGTGTTTGAAGTAAGAAATAAAATTGTCCTTGTTTAGAGATGACATGATTGTCTATGTAGAAAATCCCAAAGAATCACAAAAAAAACCCTCCTGGAATAAATAAGTCATCATAGCAAAAGTGCAAAATACAAAGTTAATATACAAAAGTCAATTGTTTTCCTATATACCAATGATGAAAAATTTGAATTTGAATTTATTTTTTTAATGTTTTATTCATTTATTCATGAGAGTCAGAGAGAGAGAGAGAGAGAGAGGCAGAGACAGAGGGAGAATCAGGCTCCCCGCCTAGCAGGGAGCCTGATGCGGGGCTCAATCCCAGGACCCTGGGACTATGACCTGAGCAGACGCTTAACGACTGAGCCACCCAGGCGCCCCTGGAATTTGAATTTAAAACACAATACTATTTACATTAGGACCAAAAATAATGTAATACTGCTCTCTTTGGGAGAACATACACCAAAATTGGAACAATACAGAGATTAGCATGGCCCCTGCTCAAGGATGACATGCAAGTTTGTGAAGCATTCCATATAAAAAAAAAAAAAGAACAAGAAAATAATGTAATAATCAGATATAAATCCAAAATATATACAGCATTTATATGATAATAACTACAAAAATCTGATAGAAGAAATTAAGGAATATCTAAATACATAGAGAGATATTCCATGCTCATGGACAGGAAGATTCAATATTGTTAAGACGTCAGTTCCTACCAACTTGATCTATAGTTTCAAGGTAATCCAAATCAAGATTCCAGAAAGTTATTTTGTGGATGGATATAATATAATAAAGTCATTCCAAAGTTTATATGGGAAGATGAAAGATTCAGAATAGTCAACACGATATTAAAGATGTAAAACAAGTTAGAAAATGAGACTGTCTCACTTCAAGACTTAATATAAAGCTACAGTAACCAAAAGAACATGGTTTTGGCAAAAGAACAGACACATAGATCAATGAAACAAAACATAAGACCCAGAAATAAACCCACACAAATAAAGCCAACTGATCTTTGACAAAGGAGCAAAGGCAATTAAATGGAAACAAGATCGTCTTTTCAACAAATGGTACTGGAATAATTGAATATCCGTATGCAAAATAAATCTAGATTTGGGACTTACCCCTTTCAACTAATTAACTCTAATAGATCACAACCTAAATGTAAAATTAAAAACTATAAAATTTCTAGAAGATAGCACAGGAGACCATCTAGGTGACCTTGGTGTGAGGATGAGTTTTTAGATACAACACCAAAAGCATGATGATCACAGAAAAAAAAAAAAATTAGCAAGTTGGCATCGTTAAAATTGAAAACTTTTGCTCTGCGAAAGACAACCATAAGAGAATGAAAGTCACATGCTATGAGAAAATATTTGCAAAACACATATCTGACAAAAGATTTGTATCTAACATATGCAAACAATTCCTAAAGCTCAATAATAAGAAAACAACTCAATAAAAAAATGGTAAAACGATCTGAACATACACCTCATCAAAGAAGATGTACAGAAGGCAAATAAGTATATAAAAGATGCTCAACGTCATTTTTCATTAGGGAGCTTCAAATTAAAACGATAATGAGGTATCATTACTAGAATGACTGAAATCACAAAAGCTGACAATAACAAATGCTGACAACCAAGTGCAGCAACAGGAACTCCTGTTCATTGCTGGTGGAAATGTACAAGAAGGTACAGCCACGTTGGAAGACAGTTTGGTACTTTCTTACAAAGCTAAACATAGTATTACCATACATTTCAGCAATCGTGCTCTTAGGTATCTACCTGACCGAGTAAAAAACATGTCCATAAAAATATCTGCACTCAAATGTTTATAGCTGCTTTATTTATAATTACCCCAAATTGGAAGCACAAGATATTCTTCAACAAATGATAAACTGTAGTCCAACCAAGCAATGGAATGTTATTCAAGGATAAAAAAAAAATGATCTATCAAGCCACAAAAAGACATGGAGGAACCTTAAATGCATATTGTAAGCGAAAGAAGTTAGCCTGAATGATGCTACATGGTGCATGACTCCAATTACATCACATTCTGGAAAAGATAAAACTAGAGACACATAAAAAATCAATGGTTGCCAGGGCTCAGGGTGAGAGTGAGAGGAATGAAGAGATGAACTACAGTGCTCAAATTTTAAAAATTTTAATTTAAAAACATGCTGAAGAAGGTCAAAGAGACATAGGAGCCAACTAAAAGACCTCCCAATGGTTAAAGCTGGAACAACTGGAGCAATAAAATAAAGTAGTCCTGGACTGTAACCCAAAGGCTAAAATAAGTATCCATGAGTCCATACTGATATAAATAAATGATTAAATAAGTTAACAAATGAGAAAGAAGAGACAAATCTCCCATGCAGAAGAGTTCCACATAAATTATTTAGATACTCCATCCTAAAGGTTGAGGAAAATAACTCCCCATTCTTAAATGTAAGCTGCACATGGTGACTTCCTTCCAAAGAGTATAGTATGAAAATACGAGGAAGAAAGTAACAGTGAAGAACCCAGAAAAATATTCCTTCTGCCTGTTGACCAAGGTCAACATCAATGGTCACAAATCATGTAGATTGTATGTGCCCTTGATATGATTTGATAAAAATGATACACTTTACCTCTGTGACCTTCCTCCCCAAAACACATAACTCCTGTCTAATGATGAGAAAAACATCCAATTCCAGTAGATGGTCATCCTACAATATATCTGACGAGTACTCCCCAAAATTGTCAAGGTCATCAAAAACAAGGAAAATCTTGAAAATTATCAAAACCTAGAAGAAACTAGGAGACATGATCCCAGAACAGAAAGAAGGCATTAGGTAAAAGCTAAGGAAGTCTGAAAAAATTATATACTTTAGTTAATAATAATGTACCAATGTTGGTTCATTAAGTGTAACAGACAGGCTATGCTCATGTAAGATATTAACTATAGGGGAAACTGTGTGGGGTTGCTATGGGAAAAGGATGTATAGGAGTTCTCTGTACTATCCACTCAATCTTTCTATAAATCTGAAATTTTTCCAAAATAGTCTAGTAATTCTATTAATTAGCTAATTAATTAATATTCTGACTAAGCTATTGACACATACTTTAATATAAGTAAGATTAATTTTTGGAACATCACTAATAACCAGACCATGGGCCTTGTCAATGCCCACTTAAATGCAGTGCCAAGAAATTCTAGTCTGAAGAAACTTGCCACCCTTACTCATTTATTATGAAAATTATAATACTACAATTACCTATGAAACCAATTCTTATCAGAATATAAACTATAGCTGATCCTTGAACAACCCAGGTTTGAACTGCATAGGTCCACTTATGTGGATTTTTTGATAAATACAGGACAATACTGTAAATGTATTTTCTCTTATGATCTTCTTAACATTTTCTTTTCTCTAGCTTATTGTAAAAGTACAGTATATAATATATATAACATAAAAAATATGTGTTAATCGACTGTTTATGTCACCAGTAAGGCTTCCAGTCAACAGTAGGCTATTAGTAGTTAAGCCTTGCTGGAGTCAAAAGTTATATGCAGATTTTTGACTGTGTAGGGATTGGCACCTCTAACCCTCATATTGTTCAAGAGTCAACTGTACTCAAGTCTCCTCCATAGTTTTACAACCTAATCCAGACACTATCCTATCTCTTTATTCCCATTCACAGCTATGTTCATTGTTTCTACCTCATTTTCCACTCATTGTTCACAGTAATTTGGTTCTGCCCAATTACTCTTCCAAAGTCACTGGTGGTCTCCCTAAACCAGTAGGCACTCACCTATTATTTTACTTCCTCTTTTGGAAGTATCTTACACATTATCCATTCCTTCCTTTTTAAAACACATTCTTCCTTTGCATTCATCACATTTCATTTTCTTGGTTTTCTTCCCACCTCTCTTGCATCTTCTTGATGTGTGTGTGTATGTGCATATGTGAGATTCTTACCCTGTCCTTAAGTGATATTGTCCTTAAAGTTCAGTTAAGCAAATTGTTTTCACTTTTTTAAGTTTTTTTATGTTCAGTTAGCCCACAGACAGTACATCATTCATTTTTGATGTGTTCGATGATTCATTAGTTGCGTATAATGTTACTCTATGAGTGTACCTTAGCTTCCACGGCTTTAGTAAACTACTACATGTTCATGTATACCAAGTCAAATATTATACTACTTACACTGCTATTTCCACTTTGCAGCTCTACTCACATTTCAAAGTCAAAATGTCCCAGAATAATCTACCATGCCCTCTTCCCCAAACTCCTTATACTCCATATTCTCTCTCTCTATACATGGTATCACCACTCTCTACTCAAGGCAATAGTCATTATAATCAATTTCATTCTCACTTCAAATGTTAAATCATTCCTTAATTCTCAGCATACCTTCTAAAAAATTTCTCACTTCCATCAAATTCTGTCCATCCATAGAACTACCATTCTAGTTCAAAACACTATCATCTCCTACCTAGATTTCTAAAATCGCCCCTTACAGGTGCCCCACATCTCCATGCTTTCTCCCTCCAGTCCACTCTCCACTCTATCTCATCATTCCCTAATTCAAGACACTTCAATGATTCCCCTTTGTTGTTAGTTTGAGATCCAAATGATTTAATTTTGACTATAGTTCATAATTAGGGCCCTGCTTAATACTCCAGTCTACACTCCTACTTCTTTCTCCACTTCCCTACTTCTGCCTCACACCATGCTAAACTGCAAATGTGTATGCTGCTCATTCTGCATACATCATTACTCTTCCCTACTCTCACTGTCACTCTAACTTAGGAGTTCAGCTTAGATGGTCTTTTCAAGAAGTCTTCTCTGAATCCTCAAATCCCAGATAGTTGCCTCTCATATATATTGCCACAGAGGCTTTTACTTCTGCTCTCAAAACCCTTAACATACACACATACAATTTTAAATTCCCTCATTACTTATCTATAATGCTTGTTAAACTCCAAGGTCCCCAGAGGTAATAAATATTTGTATTATTTATTAACTCTTCTCAAGAATATCTAGGACAATGACTGACATTCAGACAATGTTTGATATATTGACTGATGAAAATATAGATGGATGGTTACAGTAACTCAGAAAAATACCCTGAAAGGATTTTAAACTTAGAAGTTTAAAAAAAAAGAAAAAGAAAAACACCTCTCTGGAATGAGTTACTGCTTGCTTAGAGCTTTTGATTCTAATACATTTTCTTAGAAATAGACTTGGCTTCTGTGTGTATGAAAAATTCATAAGAATACCCACTGTATCCCAGGTTTAAAGTAAGGATTTTCAAAGACAGTATTATTGCTTTTAGGTTGCAATAGTCATGTTAATCACCTAATACCATGTTTGAACTACACATGAATGTACAGGACCAAAATTCTAAGACATCAAAGGACTCAAGTTTGATAATAATAGTTTGGAAGCAGTCAGAGAATGGTGAAGGAAGGAACTGTCAGCAACTGAAAGGTAACAGTGGGAATTAACCAATACATATCATGGGACTATGACTGCAAATTCAATATG